ATCAGAGCCTGGACTAAACAGCTGATCCACACTTCCTGGTTCCACAGGTCGACAGCGTGGTGCGACTCACCTGTGAGGACGTCTTTTGTCCGTACCACTCCACCAGCGTCTTCCCCGGCGGTGGAGTTTCTCCTCTGCGCGGCAGGACGACGGCCGGCCACAGCGCCAAGCTCCCGACGTAACCCCAGACCAGCTCCCCCTTCAGGACAAAACACACTGTTAGTTTCTGTTGCCATAGCGACCAATGTGTGAGCAGGTGGTTTCACGGTAAGCTAAACTGAGTCGACACCAGCAAACACACTTTCCCATCGCTGCCTTCAACAAACGCTGCAAAATAAAAAAAACTGCCACACGGCGTGAACGGGCTGAAACTTTCTGATGTCCTTAAACGCATCGCTTCATGTGACCGCCTCCTCCAAACTCAGTTTCTCTCCGTTTGACTTTTCTGTTATTTGTTACCAATAAACTCAAACTGTCCCTGACTGAGAAGAAAAGTTTGGTACTTGTTGTTAAACTGAAACGTTCTGCAGATGCGTCGCGGCGGCTGCAGTGAGACATGAACATGGTAAATACAGACAGTGCTGCTAGCTGCTGCTGTGAAACGCCTTACAGGTGACTGTTCCCGCGCCGATGCTCGGGTCGGCGTGGCCGCTGAATCCTCGTCATCGCTGCTCACGACAAAAACAGACTTGGCCTGACGATTTCTGTGACCTGCAAACGAGACGAACAAATGCTGTCAAACAGAAGTGGGCGTTAGCGCTCGACGCTCTTATTGCACTGGTGGGACATTTCTTACTGAGCAGCTGCCTCGGTCTGTCGGCCCGACACATTCTGGAAGCTTCTGTAACATCCACCACATCTGGATAAAAACACGCAGTCACTGATTAACATCAACGAGGCGTCACATCAACTTCCTGTCAGAGCAACTGCGGCGTCGGTCCTACCGGAGGAGTTTTCTGTGTCGCCCGACTCCTCCGTGCTGCTGTATTCCCTGGAACGCACAGGTGGTCTGGATTTGGACCAGTCGCTGTCCTCCGATGAGCTCAGTTTATCCGCTTCCTGTTTCCTCTCGTTATCGTAAGCTGTCTGGTGACGGACGGGTATCTTCCTCCTGCGGTTGTTGGGTCTTCTCGCCCACGTCCCCGGCTCAGGTAAAGCTTTGGAGGCTTCTCGGCTGTCAGGACAAGTCTTGGGGATGTTCGACACCTTGGGATTAAAGCAAAGACAGAAAAA